CTTGCGTCTGCACTCTGACAGAGGTGGTGAGTTTTCCTCCGACCTCTTGGCAGCCTTCTGTGAGGAGCACTGCATCACCCAGTCGTTCACGCTTCCGGCCTCTCCGCAGCAGAATGGGGTTGCTGAGCGCCGCATTGGCTTAGTCATGGAGGTCGCTCGTACCTCCATGATCCATGCGGCTGCCCCCCATTTTCTGTGGCCGTTTGCGGTCCGGTACGCCGCGCATCAGCTCAACATCTGGCCCCGTGTCTCCTTGCCGGAGACCTTGCCCACACTGCTGTGGACGGGGAAGGTTGGCGATGCGTCGCGTTTCCGGGTCTGGGGTGCTCGTGCCTTTGTCCGCGATACCACCGCGGACAAGCTCTCCGCCCGCGCTGTTCCCTGTGTCTTCCTTGGCTTTGTCCCTGACGCGCCTGGTTGGTAGTTTTACCACCCCACCTTGCGCCGTGTCTTCCCCTCTCAGGACGTCACGTTCGACGAGTCGGTTCCCTTTTACCGTCTCTTCCCCTACCGCACTGCCCCTCTCCCCCCCCCGCCGCTCTTCCTTGCTCCAGGTGCTCCCCAGGTAGACCCCCTCCCCACTCTCGGTCCTGCTCCTTCAGGTGTGTCTCAGGTAGACCCTCCTCTCTTGCCTGCGCCAGTTGAGGTCACTGGTGACTCAGGTCCTGCTGAGGGTGGTTCTGCTCGGGGTGCTGCTACTGGGGGTGCTGAGCCTTGGGGTGCGGAGCCTGGGGGTGCTGAGCCTAGGGGTGCTGAGCCTGGGAGTGCGGAGCCTGGAGGTGCGGAGCTTGGGGGTACGGAGACTTGGGGTGCTGAGTTTGGGCGTGAGGAGTCTGGGGGTGCTGAGCCTGGGGGTATCGAGTCTGGGGGTGCTGCACCTGGGAGCGCTGAGGCGTCTGGTGAGCAGTCTCCCTGGGGCAGCCGTCTCCGTAGTCGCTCCGCTGGTACCTCGCCGCTGCACTCCCGTCGTCGACTCCCTCTCTCCCCACAGTAGCTGCGTGAGTGGTACGTTGGCCGTCAGGGTCGCGCTGCTGGAGCTAGGGGCCCTGCTGCGAGAGGCGCTGGAGCCGGTGACTCTGCTACTGGAGTTGTTTCTACTGGAGGTTCTGGAGCTGCTGAGGGTGCTGGAGGTGGAGGTTCTGGAGCTGCTGCGGGTGCTGGTGCTAGAGGTTCTGGACCTGGAGGTTCTGGAGCTGCTGAGGGTGCTGGCGCTGGAGGTCCTGGAGCTGCTGCGGGTGCTGGCGCTGAGGGTTCTGAGTCTGCTGTTGCGCGGTCTACTTGGAGTAGCCGCCTTCGTCCGTGTGTACCTCTCACCTCTCAGCAGCTGCACGACTGGTACGGTCGCCGTCAGGGTCGCAATTCTGGAGCTCGGCGCTCTGCCGTTGGAGGTACTTCTGCTGCCGTCACTGGAGCTGGGAGTGGTGCTGGTCCCGGAGGTGCTCGTACTGGAGGTACTGGAGCTGATGGGGCTCGAGGTGCTGAGCCTGACGGTGCTACTGCTGGAGACCCTGGGTCTGGGGGTGCTGCTGCTGGTGACACTGAGGCTGGGGACCCTGGGACTGGAGGTGTTGGTTCTGAGGGTGCTGCTACTGGTGGAGCTGGTCCTGGAGGAGCTGGCGCTGAGGGGTCTGGTGCTGCTGGAGGTGCTGGAGCTGCTGGGGGTGCTGGAGCTGCTGGTGCTGGTGGCACTGCACAGCCGCGCCTGTTCTTTGCTCCGCCGTCTCCGTCGTCTCAGCCACCGTCTGACACTGTACTTCGCCAGGTTCTTAGCCTCCCTTCGTCTACTAGTCTTCCGTTACAGCCTAGCTCACCGCAGCCTGCTCCTTCTCCTTACACTGAGCAGTCAGGGGGTCTTACTGAGCGTCGTGAGCCTGCGTCGCGTCCTATCTCGCCTGTCCGTTCTGGTCGTTTCGGTCGTCGTGTTCCTCGTTCGCGTCAGCCGGTTGTCCCCGGCACCCACCTCGTAGTTTGTTGTCCTTCCTCTCCTCCGCAGCGTGTTCCCCTGCCGTCCCCTCCTGTGTCTTCTCTGCCTACCGTTCCTGAGCCTGAGTCTGACCGCGTTTGTGCTGCTAGCCCTACTGTCACACGTCTGCTAGCCACATCTGTCACTGACCCGTCGTTTGAGTCTGCTGCTGCGTCTGCCTTAGTCGCTGAGCTTGTTGACTTTGCTGCTGCCTGTCGTCTAGACTACGCCGCTAGTCTTGTTGCTGAGTCTGAGTCTGTCTGTCCTCCGTCCGTCGGGGGTGAGTGTGCTCTTGGCACGGACGTCCTTGAGGACAGGCAGGAGGACCTTGAGTGTCTTGCAGCCGCTGCGCCTCATCTCGTGTCCATGCTGCTTGCCCCTGAGGGAGACCCGGATGCTCCAGACATCCCGACCCCGCGCTCTTACGCTGAGGCGATCGCGGGTGAGTACTCCTCTCAGTGGCAGACAGCCATGGACGCAGAGATGGCATGCTGGAAGTCCACAGGCACCTACGTCGACGAGGTTCCCCCTCTTGGGGCGAACATCGTCAGTGGCATGTGGATTTTCAGGGTGAAGCGGCCGCCGGGTTCTCCGCCTGTCTTCAAGGCTCGTTACGTTGCTCGAGGTTTCAGTCAGCGAGAGGGAGTTGACATCTTCCAGACCTTCTCCCCCACTCCGAAGATGACCACTCTTCGGGTGCTGCTGCACGTTGCCGCTCAGCGTGACTACGAGCTTCACTCTCTTGACTTTAGCACAGCTTTCTTACAGGGCAGCCTGCACGAGGAGATCTGGCTGCGCCGCCCTCCTGGCTTCACTGGTTCGTTTCCTCCTGGTACCCAGTGGAGCCTCCGGCGGCCGGTCTACGGTCTCCGCCAAGCGCCACGTGAGTGGCACGACACACTGAGGACGACACTTGCGGCTCTTGGGTTCGCGCCTTCTACTACTGACCCGTCGCTGTTTCTGCGCACCGACACTTCGCTGCCGCCGTTCTACATCCTCGTGTACGTCGACGACTTGGTCTTTGCCACTGCGGACACTGAGGCTCTCGCCCTGGTGAAGTCGGAGCTGCAGAAGAGACACACGTGCATAGACCTGGGTGAGCTGCGCAGCTACCTTGGCTTGCAGATCACCCGGGACAGAGCACGCCGCACCATCACACTGACTCAGTCACACATGGTGCAGCAGGTCCTTCAGCGCTTCGGCTTCACCTGGTCCTCGCCACAGCACACTCCTCTGGCTACAGGTCACTCGCTCTCAGCTCCACCTTCGGACGAGTCGGTAGAGCCGAGTGGTCCTTACCCAGAGCTAGTGGGCTGCCTCATGTACCTGATGACCTGCACTCGTCCTGACCTTGCGTACCCTCTTGGCCTTCTCGCTCGCTACGTGGCTCCTGGTAGGCACCGAGCGGAGCACATGGCTGCTGCTAAGAGGGTACTGCGCTACTTGTGCAGTACATCGGGCATGGGGCTCGTGCTTGGAGGACGGAGCCCAGTTGTCCTCACTGGGCACTCGGACGCTTCTTGGGTTGACGACCTGGCTACACAGCGGTCGTCACAGGGTTACACCTTCAGCCTTGGCTCTGGCTCTGTTTCTTGGCGGTCTACACGCTCGTCTTCTGCTCTCGGCTCTAGTTGTGAGGCTGAGATCTACGCCACAGCCATGGCTGCACAGGAGCTACGCTGGCTCACCTACCTGCTGACCGACCTGGGAGAGCGGCCTCGTTCTCCTCCAGTGCTGTACGTAGACAACAAGGCCGCCATTGCCTTGTGTCAGGAGCACAGACTGGAGCACAGAACGAAGCACATCGCTCTGCGTTACTTCCTCGCTCGAGAGTTGCAGCAGCGAGGTCAGCTTCGTCTTGCTCACGTGGCCACTCGGGCCAACACTGCTGATATATTCACCAAGGCACTTCCGTCTGGTGATCATCAGCGTTTCTTTACTTTGTTAGGCCTGGTGCCGACCTTGTTTGTACTGTGATCTATATATATACCTGCTTGCTTGCTTTGCTAGGTAGAGATCACTGTGATGCTGTTGTTGCATATATACCTCTGCATGTGAACTGGCCTTGTGGCCCTCTGCTTGTGCTCAGTGTGTGTGGTGACGTTGTGATCCACCCTGAGCTTGCTTTGCTTCTCTTGACTGGTCTTGTGACCCCTTGCTCTCCCCCACTTTGCCTATGGGTGTGTGTCAAACTATGATAATGCTTGTGCTGTGTAGGCTGTAGTGGGGTAGCCCATAAGGGGTACAACCCAAATTAGGGTCAGCATATGTACCTACATCTCTGTTCAATGCACTCATTCCTGCTGCTAGATTCTAACAGGCGCGGCACAACATCGACCTGGCCCGCATCATCAACGCGGACCCGACTCCACTATTCGTGGAGATGCCAGCCGAACGGTCGATCGAGCACCGTGGCGCGCGCTCGGTCCCAATCCGCACTGCAGGCTACCAGAAGACGCGCTTGACGGTGATGCTCGCATGCACTGCATCCGGGGAGAAGCTGCGGCCGTGGGTGTGGTTCAAGATGAAGAACGTCCCCAACTGTGAGATTCCAGAAGGTAAGCGTAATGAACTCAACTGTGCGTCTGCCTGATGGGCGTGCCCCACTGTGCTGATGCCCGTCTGTCCCTTGTGTGTCTGGCAGGAATCGTGGTCCAAGCACAGGACAACGGGTGGATGGACGAGAGCGCTGTGCAGACCTGGCTGTCCAAGGAGGTGCTGCCCCATCCGAACCCCCAGCGCGGCCAGAACGCAAGGCGGGCGATGCTGGTGTTGGACTCCTACCGCGGTCACATCACCCAGACCATGCTTCAGTCGTACCGCACGCACAGCATCACCCCTGCAGTCATCCCAGCGGGTTGTACGAGCCAGATTCAACCCCTGGACTTCTCCATCAACTGGTGCTTCAAGGCTGCTGTGCGAGCGCGCTACGCCATGTGGTTCATGCGTGAAGGGATTCACCTGAAGACGAAGAAGGGTGAGTTGGTCCTTCATTTACGGTTTTATTCCTATTCTGTTTCCTGTCCTTGTCTTAAACATGCTCCTTCATATCCGTGTCTCTAACATCTCGCTGCCCCGTCCTCTGTCCCACCCGCAGGGAACCTGCGGAGGCCTCCGCACCCGGTGGTGCTGCAGTGGATCGCGGAGGCTTGGGATCAAGTCCCCAAGCAGATCATCATCCTCGCGTTCCGCCACTGTGGGATCTCAAGCAAGCTGGACGGAACGGAGAACCACCTGGTGATGTCTCACCTGCGCGCCAGGAGCACCACCGATGTCTCCGCGGACATGTCCCTCGGGGGGACCACAGGCGACAACACGCGCCTGCTCGATCGGGCTCCAGAGGAGGAGGAGGAGGAGGAGGCGATGCAGGCGGAGGGCGTGCGGGAGGTGGCCGTGGCAACCGGCCTGGAGGTGCTGTACCAGGAGACCCCCAACTACCGTGGAGCGGCGGCCGAGGCTGACCGCATGATCGAGCCTAGGGAGACGGTTAGGCATGCCTGGCGAGTGCCAGACCTGGGTGTAGAGCCAGTTGTTAGTGCAGGTGAGGAGGCGGTGACTGAGGGGGGTTAGGTAGAAGTAGAGATTCATGACTGTATGCATGTACCCCCCTAAAGTAAGGAAGGCTCGTTTAGAAGACACCCCCTGTTTATAAGAAAACCCCTAAACCCTGGTTCTGATTAAGACATATATGTCTTATCTCGTACACACAAATAGGTGTCGTATAAAAAGGCTAGCCTGTTTATAAGAGACACCCGTATAGTAGACAACCCCTGTCTACTATTCAACACTGTTTTATATCCGGGCAATGACGGTAGTAGTTGGCCCAAATACCGTAAGAAGGCAGTGTCTTGCATGAAGGTAGTGATATTGTGCCTCCTGCTAGCTCTTAACACTTGAAGGGCAAGGCACTTGGTGTAGAAGCAGGATACAAGGAAGGAACCTCCCATGGGCCAGAGCAGCGCCTACGGTAAGTGACAATGCATCAATCTGGGATGTACGGTATGTATACAATACGTATTGTCCGTAACTGCAAACTGCAAAGGGGAGGCATTCCGGGACGAAGCAGGGCAGCAAGAATGTCAAGATCAGGTTAGGTGGGTTTAGAGTTGGCCGAAGAGAAGAGGGGTTGTGCTAAGAGAGGGGACGAAGCACGGCAGCAAGAAGAACCCCACGTTGGCTAGGGAAGAGCCTACATGAAAATGCCCTATGTTGAGTGGTAGGTAGGTAGGTAGGTAGGTAGGTAGGTAGGTAGGTAGGTAGGTAGGTAGGTAGGTAGGTAGGTAGGTAGGTACAACATTCAATGTCAGCATATCGAGTTGTTTTTATTTCAGCCAATCGCCTCAAAGACACTTGAGATAACATCGTTCGATACCAGAAACCCCTCAGGATCAGTCAGTCGCATTCTAAGGCTTTGCCACCTCACCTCCTCCTCACCACCACCACCAACAACACCCTCACCAGTTCTACCCTCAATCGCTCTTCCTACGAGAGGGCCTTCCACCCCCTCCCTCGCTCCCTCTCCACTCTCCCTCACACCACCAACTCCCACCCCTCCTACACCCTCCTTCTCCTGAGTGACCATCTCATCGCACTGCTGCTCCAGTGCTCTCAAGTCTGTCTTCTCTCTTCCCATAACCTCCATTCTTCCATCTGGCATTGCTTGGACTAATTCCACCAATCCCGTCTCGACAAATTTCAGCAGCGCTTTCCCCACCGCCGCTGCCGCCTCCGCACCGAACCTACCCGCCAGCTCCGGCATTCCCAAGCCTTCCCCGAGCCTAAGCCCGAGCATGACCGTATCTAGAAGCTCCTCTTCTCTGGAATCCTCCGGCCAATCAATCAACCCGTTGCTAGCTTCGTACTTCCCGACCCACTCCCCGTACCCATCCCAGGTTCGGGGCCGAACGAACCTCTTCCGAGCCACATAGCTAGCTGCGCCGAGCCCGAACCCCAGGTACGGAAAATTCGTCCAGTAGGTCCGGTTGTGCCGAGACTGGAAGCCAGGTTTGGCATAGTTGCTAACCTCGTAATGAACATATCCCGCCGCACGAAGCTGCCTGGAAGCTTCCCGGTACATGTCAGCGGAAAGATCGTCGGCAGGGAGGGGGGAGCGGCCGGGGGAATCAGCTGATGGTATTCCCCCCTTTTGGCCTTGGGAATACCATCGGCCGAAGGCTGTGCCTTGCTCCACCTGCAAATCATAGACTGACACGTGGCTGGGGCCCAGGCGGATGGCTTCAGAAAGGGAGTGCTGCCAGCTGTCGGGGGTCTGGCCTGGCAGGCTGAGATTGGGTGGGGAGAAGGGGTGATTGGGGGAAGGGATGGCAGGGGGAGTAAGGGTAGGACGGTAGGACGAAGGAAGCACATATTGCCCACCTCTAGCAAGCATCGTGCATGGCAATGATGGCATCAGTATGGTTGCATCCTCCCTTCCTTAGGGGGAAACATAGGCACTCACCCCGAGATAAGATCCAAGCTCCAGTTCTCCAAACCCAAACGTTTCATGGGGTCAACAACATCATACAGGTCAGCCAGAAAAAAGAGAGAATATGAATCCTCCTCCCACTTGCGTTCATCTAGTATAGTCATCCACCCATCTTCCTTCACTTGCGCTGCCCACTCACCCTGATATCAAATCCAAGCTCCAGTTTTCCAGCCCCACGCGCTTCACCGCATCAACAGCATCGTACACGTCAGCAAGAGAGTGAGATCTCCCACACGCCTTCAGCAGGGCTTCGTCAAACGCCTGGCATCCCACACTCAGCCTCGTCACTCCCGAGCCTTCCACCCAGGCTCGGAGCCGAGCCTCGTCGAACGTGCCAGGGTCGGCCTCCAAGCAGATCTCAGCGTCCGGAGCAAGGCCGTAGGTTCGGCGAAGAGTGTCGACGAGCCTGGAGAGGAGGTCCGGCGGGAGGAGGGAGGGAGTACCTCCTCCGAAGTGAATAGTGCGAAGAGGAGAGTGAGGAGGAGAGTGAGGAGGTGGAGGAGAGTGAGGAGGTGGAGGAGAGTGAGGAGGTGGAGGAGGATGACTGGCTTCGATTTCCCTGATCACCAGACCCACGTAATTCTCCATCTTCAATATCAGCCGTTCATGCACAGACGGGTCCCTGGCCCCAACTGTGACTATAGGGAAGTCGCAATAGTGACAGCGGCGGCGACAGAACGGGATGTGAACATAAGCAGAGAGCGGGGGAGAGGAAGCGATGCTTTGACCAGAATTCAGGGTGAGAATTGACGGGTCCTGGACACGTGGCTGTTCTTGATTGGTTGAAGGTGACTGGGCCGTGGAGGAGCCGCGGATGTGACTACAACGAGGTACGAGTTGTGACGTCGATCTTTGGGGAAATGACGTGTGGAAGATGAAGTGAGGTTGAGAAAAGGAGGAGAAGGGGGAGGAGGAGAAGGCGGAAGTTGAGAAGGAGGAGTAGGAGGAACCATGGCTGCTGGTAATCCAGGATGATCTAAGACCAGAAAGATTAGACCCGGCTGACGTGGCAAGCAGGACGCGGCTGAGGTGATGACGGTGATGATCTAACCGAGCGACGGGTGCGACTTGTGCGCCGAAACATGCGACCCGCGATGGCGACACGGATCGCAAAGCGACGCTCAGACGGCCTGGAAGGCCTCTCGCGTGCGAATTCATGCGAGCTGCCTCTGTGCGACTGCGGATCGCACGGACTCGAACGAGGCCTACTCTAATCGCCGTGAGGTGCGGATGTGTTTATTTGTGCCGTTCGTAGCGGCAGCGCATTGCTGTCACTTCTGCTCAGAGACCCTTGTATGCGATCTCTTTTCCCATTCGTTCGACGTGTAAGCTGAACAGCACTTGCCAATGTCACAGAAATTTGCTGTGGGGTCTGGTACGATTGAAAGGGATTATGCTTGCTGTGATGCGGTGACTCGACATGACATCAATTGGAGGTTTATTACGGTACCCGTCAAAAGGCACTTCGATGCAGAGCGTGCATCAGCATTTGCATCGGACACACTAGAATGTATAGGTTCAATCAACCCCATCACTTTTAGAGGCCCAATGGCTTTCCAGGTAATGTTTTTCTGAGTACAAAGGGACCACGGTACCTAATGGTTCAAACACCACCCTTGTCCACAAGGGCCACTCTAGAGAGGCTCCTCCAGATGCAGTCTTGGTAGGGGTGGCACGTTCGAGCCACACAAAGAGGCAGCGCCAGTATAAATTTGAAGAGGCACCAACAGCCGTGTAATCAAATATCAAGACTTCAACAAACAACTAGGTATAACCCACGACGCCGACCTTTTATTCTTCTCCTCATCCAGCAACCTATTCTCCATCAAAATATCCCTTTCAAGTCTAAGCTTCTTAACCTCAACTTTTGCTATATCCAATGCTTTAAGATACTCCTCCGCTCTGTCTAAACTCTCCCGTCCCGCCACGGCCACTTCTGCCGCCTCCTCCCTCTCTTCCATCAGCACTGAAAGCTCCCGTTGCAAAGCGTCTATCCGTCTATCTGCCGCCATCATCGCCGCGTCTTTCTCCCTTCGCACCGCATTCGCTCTGGCGTTCGCCGCTGACAGCTCAGCACGCACCGACGCCACCTCAGCATTGGCTGCTGCCAACTTGGCGTTCGCCGCGGCCGCGACTTCTTGCAGTTGGTGCAGCGCGGCTGCTTCGCGTTCTCTTGCGCGCGCCAGTCCGCCTTTTAGCAGCTGCACTTCCGCTCGCAGGATGCGCACCTCTTCAGGCTCTTCCGCTGGAGCTGACTCGTAGGCGTCAGTTGAAGGTGCTCCTAGACCGTGTTGCTTTGACTGCATTTCCATGGTAGTTGTCATTCCAGTCCTGAAACTTCAACCTGGCGACGAGCTCGGAACGATACTATCCGTCTCCGTCGAATTGACGACGAGTGACAAGACGACGCCGGATACCGAAATGAAAATAGACGTTATTGTTCCGCGAAAATGGTTACTATGCTAGGGCTCCGACAGCGTCACACAAAGCAACTCCCGTCGTCCACAGCGTGAATCCACGTGAAAGCTCATAAAAATATCTCAAATGACTGACGGCGGAGTATCAACAAGGTGTAAGTGACTAGTGCTGCTACCTGTTCTGTCGAGTCGATGCGTCCAGTATGTCGTGCTATGCTTCAAAATCCCCCTTGATGCCTGAAGTTTCCTTTCTGTGGTAAATTGATGGCGAGGCGAATCAGAGCTGGCGGCAATCCGTGTGGCGGGTTGTTGGCACAGCTGGAGTTGGTGGGGAGGTGGGTGGGCCAAGTCCCTGGCCCCCGGCCTGGGCCGTGATGGGGAAGTGGCCTGTGGCTTTTGCGCTGCTGGCACGTAGTCGAGTGAGGGAAGTGGAAATGAACAGAGATACTCGATACTGAGCGTTCTGGTTTGAGCATTACAACTAGACGAGCACGAAACCCAAAAAAATCCCACAAGGATTCATTTACAACATCCGTAGCCTTGAAAGGTCAATTCTGGACGGACGGACCTTTCTAACTAATGAAATGATATCATGCATACTACAATGGCGGGGTTCATTACAATCACCGTTAGGCTTGGCACACAATGGGATGGTAATGTAAACATACATATGCTACATTGTCATGCCATATGCTGTACAGAAGAATGCTACCTTACAAACCGTAACCCCATAAATTTACTTACATCTACCATTAGAGCCCTGCCACCAACAAGAATGATAAGGGGCAGGGGTTACCCAAACGATTTGCCATTCAACCTGCTTCAGCCTCACAACGACTGGCAGCCTCGAGAATACAGCTTTTGTCCGTCCTCACAAACCCTCCCTCCAAGTCAGCCAACTTCCCAAGAGCCATGGCTGCTGAAGACACTTTCAGAGAAGGTAGAGTTAGCCAGCAAGCTACTCATCAGTTCACCTCCAAAGTCAGTTGAGTGAGACGAATCAGGAACCGCAACTACCGCAGCAGGCACGGTGAAACACACCCACGACTTAAATCAGCCTAAACTGGGGGACGAAAAAAGAAACCAATCCTTTGCGTAGAAACAGCTTACGTCTGTCTTCATAGACTTTCCTCCGAGTGAGCCAACTTCCCCTTCCTCAACAACTACTTTCCTTCCACATTCCACATCAGCCACCCCCGCTTCCTCCGCAACTTAGTCAGCCTCTGCCGCATCCACGACACCCTCGGACTCTACGAGTATTGCTGGTGCCACCTAAGTCAGTAATGTGGTAGCTACCGAGGCGTGTCAGGCGTAAACCGCGGCGGCTCGGACACGTTCATCAGGCACGGCGGCACGAGCCAGTTCACGGTCGCCATAGCGCCTCCCGCGCCGCCTCCATGCTCCAACGCCTGAATCCGCTCCTGCAGCAAATCTCTTTCCAGTCTTAACTTCTTAATCTCCACTTTCGCGACGTCTAAAGCTCGGAGGTATTCTTCTGCTCTCTCGACGCTCCGTTTCCCCTGAGCGATAATCTCCGCATCCTCTTCTCGTTCGTCTACCAGAACCGCTAATTCTCTTCTTAGTGTTTCAATCCGACGGTCCGCAGCCTGCACCGCGACCTCCTTTTCCCGCCGAACGACTGCCAGCTTGGCATTAACGGAAGCCAGGTCAGCTTTGGCGGTTGCTGACTCAGCTAGGGCGGCTGCCAGGCTGGCTTCCAGCTGTTTTATTCGTAACCGTAGCCGCTCTACTTCGAAAGGGTCCACATTGCCCTGGAAGTCGCCGTTCGGCAAGGTGCCTTTTGCGAGCGTACCGCCTTCGTGTTCGTGCATGGCTGCCCTAGGACAGCGTTTCCGAGGAGATAAATAACTATGACGGAGGAACAGACCGCTTCTGCTAAGCAATGTTCAGGGCGGAAAGAACGAAGGTGTGTAATAAATAACTATTGAACAAGAGTTCGGTTGAAAGGGTAGGACGAGGGAACATGAAGTGCTGAAGAAACTAGCTGAAGAAGAGCAGCAGGGGAAAGAGCTCCAGCAGAAATTAGCAGCAACAGCAGAAGCAAGCGAGGGAACAAGAGCGCAACAGCAATAGCAACAGCAATGGCGCCAGCAGGAAAGCAGCAGGGTCACACCTCACATCCAGACATGCAACCCAACGCAGAAGAGCAAGAACGCATACCAAACGCATTTCAGTTTCAGTCGTCAGAGCTTATCAATGCAACGCAACGCACCATGTGCTCTGATATCTGCACCGTGATGATATCGCAATTGACACGCGAGGTATTCGGAAGATGAGAATGCGGCCTAGGTACGAAGGGAGCCAGCTCCGGAGATCCCCGTGAGTAGAGGCAGATGCGTCTGTCACCAGGGGGGCGAGCTCTATGCGCCCCAACCCAACCCAACCACCTCGATTCACCCGCGAAACAGCCAAGTACAGATATCTACTACACTCGAGTAAATTTACTTCTGCACTTCCAGACAAGTGGTAGATGCGAACTCAGCCATAAAGCACATTTTCTACATTCCAAAATTGTCTTCTCTACATGCAGCCATGATTCTTGCAATGCTTGCTTGCTCCATCTCGTCAGCCTCAGGCAAATCTGCCATGCACAAAAAGGAGATTAAACTGAGTTTACTCAAAATAAACAAGCATACTCGCATAGAGACAGTTGTTAGTAAACATAAAATAATCAGCATAAAGCACAACCCAGCCGGACCTGGCTTTCTCCCTAACCACTTTCCGATTCAAGTCTCACCTTTGTCAAACTGCAGAGTCGGAATCTCTTCTTTATCCTTCTCCGCTGTCCACTCCTGAATAGCCTCGTCCCACCGCCCAATCACAACGCGACACGCGGCCTGCTGTCGATGCGGACCAACAGTTTCCTCCTTCAAACCACTCGCACCCTCACTCCCTCTCCCTCCTCTCCTCTGTTGCCCTGGCAGCATGACAGCATCGGGCCAAGCGGGGCCGATAGGGAGTGACGCCAAGAACAGTGACCGATCCGTTAAAGCTGCCACCGTTTCACTCGCCGCTCCTTCCGCTCCTCCCGCTGCCCCTGCTGCTGATGCGGCTGCCCTTGCCCCTGCTCTCTCATCTGCTCCTCCTGGCCCACCTACTACTCCTGTTCCTTCTCCACCTACTCCTGCTGCAGCTGCATCTCCCATACATGGCACGATCACCCGATGCTGACCTGGCATGAGCTGCTGCGGCTGCACATGCTGACTTGGCAGCGTCGCATTCGCGTGCAAGCTGCCAGGTGGCAGCATGTGAGAGGGCGCGATGCTCTCCTGCGTGTCAAACAGGAACTGCTGCGATCCGATGGGGTTCTGAGAGGAGCTGAACGGTTGGAAGGAGCTTTGCTGCGATTCAAAGCGGTGTTCTGGTTGGGAGGCAAACTGGTGGTATGGCTGGGAGGAGAAGGGGGTTGCTTGGGAGGCAAAGGGAGTTGCTTGGGAGGGAATATGCTGCTGTGGATAGAAAGGAGAGAAACTCTGCTGTGACGCGAACGGGAAGGTGTGGGAGAAGGGGTCCGGATTCTGACAAGACATGCCGCACTGCCTGCTGGCAGTGGCACCACTAGCATCAGCACCAGCGCCAGTGCCAGCAGTGCCAGCAGCACCAGCAGCACCAGCAGCACCACCAGCACCAGCAGCACCACCAGCACCAGCAGCAGCAGCAGCAGAAGAAATAGAGGCGCTTCTCTCGCCCAGGAACCCCAAGCGACGCAGGGATTGCAGTACTGAGTCCACCCGCTGCCCCCGTGCTGCCATGTGGCGCTCGGCGATTGGCTGGGGTGGCTGGGCGTCTGCTGCTGCCTCCGCAATCTCGTGACTGGGTTTGGGGAGAGAGGGGGGGATGGGCGGGCGGGTAAGAAGTGGGGTACGAGTCGTTTCAAACCAACTTCAAAGACTGGCCACGACTCTCGCCAATGACACATCCAACCGCCCTTCATTCCCCTCCACTCACCCCACTCCCATCCATTCCACTTCACTCCACACCGCTTCACTCCACCCCACTTCACTCCCCTCCACTCCATTCCACCCCACTCCACTCCATCTTATCACGTCAGCGGCCATGCAGTTGTGCCCTCTCCTCCGGTGCAAATCTCTGCAACTCTCGCAAGCGACACATCCAACAGCCCTTCATACCTCTCCACCACACCCCACTCCCATCCACTCCACTCAACTCCGCCTCATCCCACTCCACTCCAACTCACCATGTCAGAGGCCATGCAGTCGTGCCATCTCCTCCTGTGCAAATCTCTGCCACTCTTGCCAGTGACACATTCAAATGCCCTTCTTCCTTCTCCTGTTCCTGCTCCTCCTCCTCCTCCAGCTGCTGCTGCTGCTCCTCCTCCTCCTCCAGCTGCTGCTGCTGCTCCTCCTCCTCCTGCTGCTGCTGCTGCTGATGCTTTTTCCGCCTGCGTTGTGAATTCCCCCTAACATCCCTCTCGGTGCTCCTTTCTCTCACCTGGCCTCCTCTCACCTCCTCCTCTCCTTCCGCCTTCTCCCCCCTCCTACTCCCAACCACTGGATCCACAGCCGAGCGCACATCTGCATCAAGACGAAAAGACATCACGAAGGGGGGGATGGGGGCGCAGACATGACAGGTGAGTGAAACATGCCTGGCCTCCGTCATTCCGCCTTCTCCCCCTTCCTACTCCCAACCACTGGATCCACAGCCGAGCGAACATCTGCATCAAGACGCGAGGATGTCACAAAAGTAGGGTGCAGGGGTTGGGGGAATGGAAAGACGAGTGGTGAGTGAGACACCGATACACCTACCACCTACCACCTACCACCTACCACCTACCACCTACCACCTACCACCTACCACCTGCCACCTGCCACGTGCCACGTGCCTTCCCTCATCCCTCCGCTCCGCACCCCTCTTACCAACCACTGGATCCAAGGAGTATGATCTCGGAGCAGCACAGCGCCCACCCTTCCTTTTCCACTGCACCTCTCTTTTTTAGACTCAGACTCACAGTGCGCGACGTTTGGAAGCTGGATGGTGTATGATTTCGGAGTGGCGAACTTGTCACTCTTCCTCTTCACCACATGTGCGGCCTGCTGCTCCCACGCACTCCCAGCAAGTGCTGCTGCCTGCACCAGAGGAAACTTCCCTCCTCCTGTCTTTCTCCTCTTTTCTTCACCCCCGCTCTCCCCTCTCCCCCTCCTCCTCTTTCTCCTGTTGCGCTTGTCTTTAGAACTTGCAAACTTCTCATTGTCCTCCTTTTCCCCTTCCTCCTCCTCGTCCTTGTCCTCTTCCTCATCCTCCTCATCCTCCTCATCCTCCTCTTCCTCCTCTTCCTCCTCTTCCTCCCTTTCTTGTAAGAAGCCCTCCTTTCTTCCATCCTTTTCTCCCTGTTTACTCTTGCCTTTCCTCCCCTCCCACTCCATGCCGTATGATGCCGCCCACACATCTCCAAGCCTTGTCAGCTGAATCAAATCAAATCTTCCCTCATTATTCCCAGCCTCCTCTGCCCATCTCCCTGCTGTTTTTTTCCCACCGCCTGATTGGCTGTCGGGCCGAGCTTCGTTATGAGCACACGGCAGCGTGCTTATACATGCAAGGCCAGCGATTGGAGCAAGTGCAGTGCCTGCCACGTGGACAGCTGGGATTGGCTGAGAGGCCTGCAGCACGTCTACAGGATCGAGGGACCGCGGCAGGATGCTTCTGGGACGCTTCCTCTCGAAGGGGGATGGGATTTCTAGAGGGAGGAGGGCCGGTGTGGATATGAATTGAGGACCTCTGGGTGCGCTAGGGTGTTGTAATAGTGAAGATGCTTGTAATGAGGATGCGTGCTTCTTCGTGCTGTACCCTTTTTGTTTGTTTCTCCTTCTGCCCTTCCCCACTCCTTCTCCTCTCCTCCTCCCCTCCTCCTCCTCCTCCTCCTCCTCCTCCTCCTCCTCCTCCTCCTCCTCCTCCTCCTCCTCCTCCTCCTCCTCCTCCTCCTCCTCCCCCTCCTCTCTATCTGCTGCTTTAATCATCATACCCTTCGATACACTCACATCCACACCACCAGCGCAAGAGGGGAACGGAGCAGCAGCCACGGTTGCCAAACCTCCAGACAAGGCTCGGAAGAGGTGCGGCGTGCGCCGCTGGGCAGCCTGGAAACGTTTAATTGCCCGACGGGCAGCAGCAGCTTCAGCTCTAGCTGTTGCTGCTGCTTCAGCATCTGCTGCTGCCGTTGCTTTTGTTGCAGCAGCAGCATTCGTGGAAGGAGGAGGAGAAGGAGCAGTGGTGAGAGCAATAGGGCATGTGATGATCCGGCCTGAACCCAAGGCCGCTGCAGTGAGTGTGATCTGTGGTGGGGGGGCTGTGAAGGAAGGGAGGGAGGGAGAAAGAAAGGAGGGAGAAAGAGAGAGGGGGGACTGAGAGAAGGGTGACGTCAGGTTTGGGTGCTGGGATCAAAAAAAGGGAGAAAGAGAAAGAGAGGAGGGTGATGCCTTTACCTTGCATGTCTGTACACTTTTGACAATCAATGAAAGGGCCATTAGAGAGGAGGGCGAGTGGAGTGGAGTCAGTATATAGAAGAATACAGGGAGCAGATTTGGGCAGGAAGAATGTTCATGGGAGTGGGAATGAAAGTGAGAATGGAGATGGGATGGGAGCGAGAGTGGGCGACTCACCCTTGCCGTCATGAAGAGGCGTGAAGGGAGTGGGAGGTTCTTGTTGGCTTTTAAGGGAGTGTGAAGCGAACCCAGCTAACGATCAAGGGGAGGGGTAGTGAATATCACTTGGGAGGGGTAGTGAATATCACTTGGGAGGGGTAGTGAATATCACTTGGGAGGGGTAGTGAATATCACTTGGGAGGGGTAGTGAATATCACTTGGGAGGGGTAGTGAATATCACTTGGGAGGGGTAGTGAATATCACTTGGGAGGGGTAGTGAATATCACTCGGTGTCTCACCCTTGCCGTCGTGAAGAGGCACGAAGGGAGTGGTAGGTCCGTCCATTGCCATTCTCGAGTGTGACTGCAGCAGCTGTGACGGTATCAGGCGTGATTCTGACGAGCATCCGCCAATACTGCTGCTCCGTTGCCTGTGATTGGCTGTTCCTCCGGACCGTCTGTCCCCTTTATAAGCTGCTCCGAGGTAGTTGAAGTGCAGCAGGCGGGGCGGGTCATCCTCCATACCATGCTCCCACTGGAAGAGAAATAGAAGAATAGTTGGGAAAAAGTGGGATAAAGGGAAGTGAGTGAGATAAAGGGGATTCCACAAAAAGAGACTTAGAAGAATGGGTGGGAATAAGTGTGATAAAAGGGATCCCAGTGAAACAAATCAAAAGGCGGGGCGGGTCATCCTCCATACGATGCTCTCAATAGAGGAAAAAATACGAATAATAATAATAATAATAAAACACTTCAATCGCAACCACTAAACCCAAAACCCCATTGTAGACAGTCTTCCTTTTGTTTTCTAAAGAAGAATGCAGTACTCTACGGTCTCACCTCATGGTCGCCATGCAGTACTCTTACAAGTCGCCAAGAGAAATGAGCACTTGTGCTCTACGGTCTTACCTCATGGTCTCACCTCATGGTCTCACCTCATGGTCTCACTCTCACCTGCAGCAGCGGAGCTATTGTGTTGCGAAGGTCAAAGAGCATCACCAGGCGACTAGAAGCCACTGCGAAGCAGCGACTGTCCAGACTGTCGCATATCCTGTAACCCTATGATGCACGCATGGCACCATGCTCTCACTCACTTGCAGCAGCGGCGCGACAGTGTTGCGAAGGTCAAAGAGAAGAGCATCACCAGGCGACTAGACGCCACCGCAAAGCAGCGACTGTCACACGGCATATGACTCTACAATCAGGACACAGCACTTTCAGCAAGCACCTTACCTGTAACAGCGGCGCCACTGTGTTGCGAAGGTCGAAGAGCATGACCAGGCGACTAGACGCCACCGCAAAGCAGCGACCATCCAGCCCACCAGTAGGCCCGAACGCTGATGTTGCTGTTGATGTGGATGTGGAGAAAGGAGAGGAAGAGCAGAACGACGGTGGAGGAGAGGAGGAGGCAGTGGTAGCAAGGGCACAGAAGGACTGGCGGAGGACGGGGGCATGGGAGGGGAGTGTGGAGAGGGAGGACGGCAGCGAGTGCTGCGGAATCTGCACTGCCGACACCAGCCCCATCCCCACCCCGCTCCCCCCTCCTCTTCCTGCTCCTCCTTCTGCTCCTGCGCTTCCTCTCGCCCCACGCCTGCTTTTACTCATGTCAATACGAAGATCAACCATTCCGATCTGGTCCGAACAGGCAGTGAGCAGTATATGAGGCTCCCCTTCTCCCATATACTCGCACTGCCACCATCCCTCCCACCCCAGCCGCCCCTCGGCTTCCCTCCACCTCACCTCCTCCTCCCACCGCTTCTTCCGAGCCTCTTCTGTTTCCTCCGCCGAGCCTAGCCCCGAGCCTGTGGTCAGGCCGGACGGGAACGTTGAGCCTGCTGCCGAGCCGGACCTGCCCCAGCCTCGCACCGGACCTCCCAAGGCAACTCCACCAATGGACGTGGTCCAATCTGCCGAGCCTCTTCCCCCTCCCCCTCCTCCTCCTCCTCCTCCTGCTTCTACACTACTTATCCCTGATCTTAACGAGAATTTACTGTAGCTACACTCCCTGCTGCCAGGAGCTGCCCCTAAGGGGATTGGTCGAGCAAGGAGGGAGGACGAGGAGAGAGGCGAGGAGTAGGAGGAAGGATAGGAGGAGGAGGAGAGGGAGGGAGGGGGGTGATGCAGGTCGACCAATTGCAATTTTCCAGTGGTGGTGATGAGAGCGAGTTGAGTGGGGCCTGGGGAGGAGCAGGCGGGACGGAAGGCAACCTGTTAGCATACACGGGGAAGGGCAGGAAGGGAAGAAAGGAGCAGAGGGGCAGTGTGAGTGACTTGCAGTCGACCGGTGGTGGTGATGAGAGCGAGTTGAGTGGGGACTGGGGAGGAGCAGGCGGGACGGAAGGCTAGCTGTTAGGATACGAGGGGAAAGTTGGGAAGAGGGATGGAAGGAAGCAGAGAAAGTGTGAATGGTGAGTAAGGAAAAGAAAAGCGGAGTTGCGGATCGTTTTTGAGGCGCCTAAAAAATGACCTCAATGCAAGCAGAGAAAGTGCGAATGGTGGGTAAGGAAAAGAAAAGGGGAGTTGCAGAGAGGGATGGAGGGGAGCAGTGACAGAGTTCACTCTCCATCCTTTTCCAGTGAGGAAATACGAAGCAGAAGAAAAGAAGGGGTGGGGAAGGCGCAATAGATCGTGACGCGAAGGAACGAACTGATTGAAAGCCGCACTGACAGGAACTGTCAGAGAGACAACAGATCACCTGAAAGTGTCAGTCAGCTTTCCTAGATGTTTTCTTTGCTGTTTCCGAGACGCATAAAAAGCAGCTTGATTATTAGGAGCCTCAAACACAGCTTTTCTATTTTGAGTCGACTCAAAACAGCTTGTATTTTGGGCGCCTCAAAAACAGATTCTCTATATGTTTGCTTTGCTCCATTCAAAGTGACGGACACACACACACACATGTGCAAGAGGCGTTGGCGATGCGAGAGAGAGCAGACGTTTCGCCTTCAACCCTCCGTGATCTGTTTTTGAGTCGACTCAAAAACCGACTCGTCACACGCAAAGTGACGGACACACACACACACACACACACACACACACACACACACACACACACACACACACACACACACACACACACACACATGTGCGAGAGGCGTTGGCGATGCGAGAGAGAGCAGACGTTTCGCCTTCAACCCTCCGAGATCTGTTTTTGAGTCGACTCAAAAATTGACTCATCACACGCAAAGTGACGGACACACACACACACATGTGCGAGAGGCGTTGGCGACGCGAGAGAGAGCAGACGCTTTGCCTTCAACCCTCCGAGATCTGTTTTTGAGTCGACTAAAAAATTGACTCATCACACGCAAAGTGACGGACACACACACACACACATGTGCAAGAGGCGTGGGCGATGCGAGAGAGAGCAGACGCTTCGCCTTCAACCCTCCGAGATCTTCCAGATCCCCCCCACAACCGCCATCGCTGCCGCTGCTGCAGCCATCACTGTCGTACGACAGGGCGAGCACGTGAGAATGGTGCATGGACCGCGCTGCCACGTGGCAGCTCATGACTGGCCGATGCTGCTGCTGCTGCTCCTGGCCCATCCCCTGCCGCCCCTGCCTCTCCCACCCATCTTGGTCAACTTCAGAGGAATCTTCCGAGCTATTTCTGGGAGAAGAGGGCGGGGCGGGGTGTGTGCCCCAGTTACCACTGTTAAAGGCCGTGAGCTGGGGGTTGTGGGGAGTGAAAAAGCAGAGGGAAGAGGGGGGGGGGAGGGGGAGAAAAAGGGGTGGGAGTTATCAGTAAGAGGAGAGAGGAAGGGAAAGCTGAGCAGATGAGGTTTTTGAAAAGTTCAAAGGCTGGGGCGCAAGAAGGGAGGGTTCTGTGAGACTTTTCAGACGACTTAAAAGGGGAGAGAAGGGGTGGGAGTTATCAGTAAGAGCAGAGAGGGCGGGAGTCTCGAGTTGATGAGGGTATTGAAAACCTCAAAGGCTGGGGCAGGGGAAGGGAAGGTTCTGTGGAATGCAGAGCAGACAAGGAGACAATGGAGAGCAGTGCCTTGCATTCCACTGAGTACATTACAATGGAGAGCAGTGCCTTGCATTCCACTGAGTACATTACAATGGAGAGCAGTGCCTTGCATTCCACTGAGTACATTACAATGGAGAGCAGTGCCTTGCATTCCACTGAGTACATTACAATGGAGAGCAGTGCCTTGCATTCCACTGAGTACATTACAATGGAACCCCTCCAACGTGCACGACACGTTTCCCTCCAACCTCCCTGTACATCCCCTCTCCGTCCTCACCTGCAGAATGTGTCAAGTCGGTTTTTGAGTCGACTCAAAAATCGACTTTATCACACACGACATGTATCCCTCCAACCTCCCTGTACATCCCCTCACCTGCAGAATCTTCTTCCCTTCCCCACTCTGCTCCCCCAGTCCCTCCCCTCCCCCTGTACCCCCCGCCGCCAGCCCCTCTTTCCTCACCTGCAGAATCTTCTTCCCCACTCTGCTCCCCCACACCACTTCCCCCTGTGCCCCTCCCTCCGCTTCCCCCCCATAGCTGCTGCTGCTGCCAAGCAGGGAGGAGTGGGTGGTGGCAGCAAGGCAGTCATATCGGTGACCCGAGGGGAAGAGCAGGAGGTGAGATGAAGCGGTCTGATGGGGGGTGTAGGGAATAGTCAACGGAAAAAAGGAAAGGGAGAAAAGGGGGGGAGGAGTGCTGGGTGGTGGCAGCAAGGCAGTCGTAGCGGTGACCCGAGGGGAAGAGGAGGAGGTGAGATGAAGCGGTCTGGTGGAGGCGAAGGGGGAGGGAGAAAGGCATAGAAAGCGAAGCATGGACCGTGCGTGGGGTGTGCGTGGGGTGTGCGTGGGGTGTGCGTGGGGTGTGCGTGGGGTGTGCGTGGGGTGTGCGTGGGGTGTGCGTGGGGTGTGCGTGGGGTGTGCGTGGGGTGTGCGTGGGGTGTGCGTGGGGTGTGCATGGGGTGTGCGTGTGTGTTAGGAAAAGGGGAGGGGTAGGTAGGGAAACGGGAATGGGGAGATGAGAGAAAGGATGCTGGTTTCGAAGTCACCAGAAATGTAAGACCAGCCAAGTCAATCAAGTCAATAAAGTCAAGCAAGATAGGTGGGCCATCGATTTACTAAATGGCACTCATAGTGACTACAGGAAAGTGACTATACCAAAAGCTGGGCTGCATAACAGATTGTGACTGTGCACGCAGGTCGTTATACCAGGGGAAGGGCGAGCAACCGGTTTCCCAGCGTGGCGTCTCCACCTGCCAGCCTGGTAAGCTTGCTGTCCACGTCAGCGCTGACTAGGCGGTGCAGCAGAGAGGTCGGCACAGCGCCGTTGACGTTGGAGGTATACCACCGCACTTGCTGCGCTGGGGAGATGGGGCGGTAGAGAAAGTGGGGAGAGGGGAGAGAGCAATCAACCAGTAGGAGGCATGTCAATCGTCATTAACGTTGGAGGTATACCACCGTCTTGCACAGGGTGGGGGAGACAGGGTGGGGGAGACAGGGTGGGGGAGACAGGGTGGGGGAGACAGGATGGGGGAGACAGGGTGGGGGAGACAGGAAGACAGGGAGAGAGAGGAGAAAGGAGGAATAGCACCGCACTTGCTGCGCTGGGCCAATAAGGAAGCAGAAGCCACACGCGGAGGGGAGAAGGGAGCACGAAAAGGGGAGGGGGAGCAGGGCAGCACGTTCAGCTATCAATCCGCCCTTCTTACGTGCAGGGGGAGGGGGAGAACGCGTTGGCAGCATTTCGACAATTATCAGATTCTCTCCTGAATCCCCTCCAACCCAACCACACACCCTTCCGCCCCTTCCGCCCCTTCCGCCCCCTCTTTTCCCTCTACTACCCTCTCTCCCCTCCACCCTTTCCCCTCTCTCCTCCCCACCTCATGCGGAAGCACGTTCAGCCATTGATCCTCCCTCGATTTCAGAAGCATTTCCTGCTCCCGCGCCGCTGCTAGCCCTCCCGCTCCCGCTGACTTTCCCGCTTCCGCCGGCGCGGGAAATATCGCCGCAGCTCTCCGCTCCGCAGTTTCACCCGCGTCCGCAGCGGTGCGCGACGGATCGGAATCGTCCCACGAGCGATCACGTGCGATTCGCACGCTTCGCCCGCGACAGACGAATCGCACTCGACCCGATGGTGCCATTATCAGTAACTAGAGTGATTGAAACAAAAACTCGGAAAACCATAACCAGGAAATCCTGTCTAGGAAACCCTAATTATTTAAGACCTTAAACCTGAACCCTGATGACAGATGTGGGTGTTAGCGAAACGGAAGGACTTGGTTAAAAAGGAAACTGTAGCTTCGGATCTCGGTTTCGCTTCCCGAACGGCCACGGATTCCCTCGGGTTCGTCTTTGATCAGTTACAGAAATCGTTCAGCAGCGCGAATACGTTTCGTCGAGTTCCAAATCCCACAATATTGCAGAAACTGTGGCTCGAAACCTGAAACGTCGATCTGTGAGTCGCTCTAAAATGCGGCAGTTGCAAATCTAACGCAAAGCATACGCGGGATGCATATAAAATAAGTTTTCCTAGGATTTTAAGCGAGAACGTTAATACGCAAATAATTTCCTGAACCATTACGGAGGTTATGTGGCATTTGTGGACTCAGCTTATCAGTTCAGTAGCCCGCAATACGCGGCTGAATTCTCGATACAGTACCCTGTTTTTTATCACAGCCATCTTTCTTTATAGAAGAAGCACATCACATTATATGTTTCCTTAAACCGTTCTGACGCTCCTGTCGGCTCGGGCTCGTAATCGTGGCGTGTCTGGTTTTTCAGACATACTAAGACATTGGCGTGTTTGGTTGACCATCATATCGTATAGCCCTCGAGGCGACGTCGCACACCGGTCGTTTGAGTCGCGCAGACGTCGCGAACCCGGCATTCCCAATGTTTCAGGTACCACAACACCGAACCGCCGAATCACTAAACGCCAGGTTCTTATCTTCTCCGCGGCCCGGATTCCACGTGAATTGCACGCAGTGCCCCCTTCCCTCCTGCCGCCGACCATTTCACTCTCTTCAATTTTCCCGCCAACCCGCTCCTCCCCCCCCCCTCTCTTTCCTCAGGAGTGCGGAGGGTCGAGCAGGGTGTGCCTGGGCTCTCAGTCAAACCACATTGCTGCACTCTCGCCCTTCTCTCCTTGCTCTCCCCCCTCCCCCCACTCCTCTTCTTTCTTCTCCACCTACCCCCGCCAGGTGTTGAAGCGTGTTAGCTCGAGCAGGGTGCGTCTGGGCCTGCTCTCGGTCATCGTGGGATGGGTGCTGGGCTATCTCGCCGTCGCCATCATCGCCAACCACAGGTATTCCATAAAATGTTGGTATCACTGGTGCCCAGCTAATCCCGGGTGATTCCAGGTATACCTCGGTTTCGCCTGGGCCTGCTCTCCGTCATCATGGGATGGGTGCTGGGCTATCTCGCCGTCGCCATCATCGCCAACCACAGGTATTCGTGCTCCCCTCATCTTGGTAACGCTAGTGTAACCCCAGGTACCCCAAGGTAACCCTCTCGGTTTTGACTGGGTCTGCTGTCGGTGGGATGGTTGCTGTGCTGTGCTGTGCTGGGCTATCTCGCCGTCGCCATGATTGCCAATGCCAACCACAGGGTACTACATGAACTGTTTGTATTGCTGATGGTGTAAACCCAGGTAGTCCCGTGGTATTCCCACTCTCTTGCTGCATTTTGAGTCGACTCAAAAGCCGACTATCTTGCTGCAACTCATCTTCCCCCACCCCCCAACCCCCATCCCCCATCCACCATCCACCATCCCCCATCCATCCCTCACTCCTTACACCAGGAGAACCATCCCCGTTCACAGCATGGCCACTCCCTACAGCATGGGCGATGGGGTGGGGGGTACGAGCTACCAGGCATCGCCATCAGCCTTGCCTGCACTAACCCTGCATCACCACTCTCTTGCTGCAACCCATCTTCCCCCTTCCCCTTTCCCTCACTTCCTACTCACACCAGGAGGACCACACAGTATGGCATGGACGATGGGGTGGGGGATGAGCTAGCAGGCATCGCCATCCGTCCCCGGCCGCCCGGCCTCCTCACCACCGACCCCATGGATTACCCCAAGCCCACAGCCTTCTGGCTCATCCCCCCCCCCCTAGCCCACTTGTTCTCTTCCACATTGGCATTAGGCCGATCGGAGCTCCTGTTTCTTCTGAAACCAGGCTTGTCTCGCCTTTCCCTCTCCTCTCCTGCACCACTCCCATCCCCCTGCTCCTTCCATCACAGGAGGACCACACAGTACGGAATGGACGATGGGTGGGGGACGAGCTAGCAGGCATCGCCATCCGCCCCCACCCCCCCGGCCTCCTAACCACCCACCCCATGGATTACCCCAAGCCTAACTTGCTCTGTGCTGTCCTTTCCTGTTGCCCCTCCCCCCACCATCACAGGAGGACCACGCAGTATGGCATGGACGATGGGGTGGGGGATGAGCTAGCAGGCATCGCCATCCGCCCCTGTCCGCCCGGCCTCCTCACCACAGACGCCATGGATTACCCCAAGCCCTAACCAAGCCTAAAGTCTTTTAACTCAACCCCCAAAGCCCAGTTGGTTTCTTCCACATTGACATTGAACCAGCGCCCTTCCCTCTCCTCTCCTTCCCCACCTCCATCCCTGCTCCGTTCAACACAGGAGGACCACACAGTATGGCATGGACGATGGGGTGGGGGACGAGCTAGCAGGCATCGCCATCCGCCCCCACCCCCCCGGCCTCCTAACCACCCACCCCATGGATTACCCCAAGCCTAACTTGCTCTGTGCTGTCCTTTCCTGTTGCCCCTCTCCCTACCATATCAGGAGGACCATGCAGTACGGAATGGACGATGGGGTGGGGGACGAGCTAGCAGGCATCGCCATCCGCCCGCGCCCGCCCGGTCTCCTAACCACCGACCCCATGGATTACCCAAAACCCAAAGTATTTTTCGACATAAACATCGACGGGCGGCCCGCGGGCAGAATAATCTTCGAGCTCTTCACCAAGCAGGCGCCCCGGGCAGCTGAAAATTTCCGGGCGCTGTGCACGGGGGAGAAAGGGCGGGTGCCGAACGAGCCGGGCAGGGAGGGGGCGGGGATGCCGCTGCATTACAAGGGAGCAGAGTTCTATAGAGTGATTGACCGGTTTATCTGTCAGACTGGGATCAACACGGAGAGCATCTATGGGGGGAGCTTCAAGGACGACCCGCTAGCCCTGCTGCTGAAGCACAACAAGGTGGGTGGGATTGCGTCATGCCGCTGCGTTACCTGGGAGTGAGGCGGGGATGGGGGGGGCTGGCAAGGCAGGGAGGGTGCGGGGTTGCCGCTGCATTATGAGGGAGCGGAGTTCTATAGAGTGATTGACCGGTTTATCTGGCAGACTGGGATCAACACGGAGAGCATCTAAGGGGGAAGCTTCAAGGACGACTTGCTAGCCCTGCTGCTGAAGCACAAGGTGGGTGGGGGCTTGTACTATTGGGTAGCTTGTTCCCTGGGGGGATTTTCAAGGATGACCCATTAGCTCTGCTGTTGTAGCACAAGAAGGTGGGTGGGGGCTTGTGGTAGTCATTTGTACAGTACCTTGTTCCTGCTGTTTCAGCACACGAGTGTCTGTTTTCGCATCACTTAACACCTGTTTATTACTCTGCATTTATCTCACCTTTACTGGTTTCCCCAGTGCTTCAGTCTCAACCCTGATGCCTGGTCCCTCCCTCCACATTCCCTTCCCCATTTGTTTCTCCTGTCTCTCATCTCCTCCCCTCCAACTGCAGAAGGGGTTGCTATCAGCAGCCAACGTTGGTCCAGATACCACCACCACACATTTCTCTATCGTTGTGGCTCCAGCACCCCATTTAGACGGGCACTACCCTATTTTTGGCCAAGTGGTAAGGCTCAGTACAGTGCTGTTTCTCCTGCTACCGTACAGTACACGTATATGAAGAGTGTCGGATGCTGAGCATTGTGTTTTGTGTTTTGCTTTGTTCCAGGTGTCTGGTTGGGAAGTAGTAGAGCGGATAAACAAGCTCGCAAAGCCTTCTGGTTCAGGGGATGAGCGCCCCCGCTTACCAGTGGTGATTGCTGACTGTGGAGAGATTAAATGATATTGATATACATACGTACATTGATTGTGTTTTGAGTATATTCATGTGGTATGCTTTCTATGATTGAATCAGGCTACAATTTGCTACTAAGATGAGTACCACGTACACGCTCTAAACAAACCCCTTTCACTGTATTTCCATGCCTCCACCAGCTTCGATGAAGAGCTTCGACATTTCGAGCCTGATGGTGTCACAGATGGTTCGGTGGCAGTTTCAAGAGCACAGAACCATTTCGCGACGACGTGGCGCTCGTGCAGATCGATGGTGACCGCGGACGTGGACATCTCCACACGGCATCCAGCGGGGCATCAAATTTTCCGAATCAGCACATATCCATTCCACGCAGGACGCGTGGTCGATGACACGCTGGCGCCAGCCATTCCAGTGATGAATCAACACCCGCTTTCTGGTGATGCTTCCCTGCCTCGGGAATTGCTCCAGGCAGTTCTCCGCCAAGCCAGCGAATGGTTGCTGCTGAATCCTGATGCTTTCCAGACCACCAGGCTCCACAGATGTTGGTCTGAAATGTGAATCCAGTACTTCCATTTCATTCATTGTGCAGTTGTTGTTTCTGATTTCTTGTTTTCCACGGAGAGCTGATACCGAATTGCCCGTGCCTGGTCATCTAACTTGATCAAGATGGCTCTCTGCGCTGTTGCTTCGACCTCTAGCGCTACCCTCAAGACCTCGTTCCTTCCTAAGACCGAGAAGCTGGCTGATGCTTCTGTGGTTGTCAGCATTCCCGTGAAGCGGGTCTCACCGGTTCAGGCTTCCCTGGAGCCTGCTGTTTCCCGCAGGACTATCTCTCTCGCCGGAGTTGCATCCCTGGCCGCTGTGCTCTCCGCTCCCGGTCTTGCTTTGGCTGACTTCGAGGAGGACTATGTTAAGGCGACGACAAACGTCATCGAAAGAGTGAGGTACACTCTGGGCCTCGCTAGAGACGATCCCGCTAGGAGCGAAGCCGTGAGTGAACTCCGAGAGCTGTCCAACACGTGGGTGGCGAGGTATCGCCGCGAGAAGAGCGTGGCCGGCCGGCCGTCCTTCAGCAACATGTATTCCGTCCTCAACGCCATTTCCGGTCACTACATCAGCTTCGGACCTACCTACCCCATCCCGAAGAAGCGGCTCGACAGAATAGTGGAGGAGGTTGACATTTCCGAGCGCGCTCTCGCCCGTGGCCGATAAGCGGGTTCTGGACGGCATGTATCTCAGATTTTGCAAGTGCTTTGTCGTCTTGTGTTGTTGAATTTACTTTCATCAATCGATTTTGGATTTTCACAATTGTGAACTGCCAGCGCCGTTTCCTCAGGTTCTTATCTGGAGTCACAACTGAGTGAATGAACAGATACCTGGTTCCACGATTGCACTGATGGTGAATCCTGTCTGTTGCTCGCTAATGTGCTCCCCGTCCTTTCTCATCTCTCAGCACCCTTCATTTGCACCTTTCATTCCCGCCTCCTGCATTCCTACGTCCTTTAGTAGCGTTTTGCTCGCCCATCATCGTATCGTTCTCTACCATTCCCGCATGCGACAAGAATTAGCTATTTGACCTTGGTGATTAGTTGGCAAGGTGGCAACTCATACGCGATGAGGCCAACGTAACAAGGATAATCAATCTGGGCCAAATCGTAGAAAAGGGATGTGGTAAGACTTCATATCAAGAGTCAGGTATTGGCTCTTGATGTCCTGCGTTACAGCGTGATGGCTGATTGTGGAATTAAACCAGTAGTTGTCATCTGTCAATAAACATTGAAGGTGGAACCTGGAACTTTCACAATTTTGCAGCTCCCTAGCCTACCAGTAGTCAAGCTTGGTTGAAGAGCACATGCTTGGGTCCACATGGGTTCCCGCATACTATTGACAATGACTCCTATACAATGAACCCTATGTGTCACACCAACTCCTTGAGGAATTCAAACTGCACTATGCACAGAACTCCCATATTTAGAAAGCTTGCTTTCTTGTGTTTGCAATGGCAACGAGCTTCGTTTCAAATGGGCATTACATCATTCTCGTCCGGGATATATATGGTACCTACATTACACATGACAACATGCAATTTTTGCTAGGGTGGGTGGGTGGGAAATAAGACATTTGAAATTTCAAACGAAGACGTGGGTGGAGGCCAAATGGCCTCCACCCCCTGCTATATAGTTGGCGAAGAGCATCTAGCACTTCGCCGTTGCCATTGCTGCATTACAAGCAGCTTCACTTTCAAAATACACATTTTTAGAAAGTGTTACACACTTTCAAAAAATTTCATATCATGTCACTGGATGGGTCACTCTGGGCATCAAAATCAGCCTCAGCAGAACTATCAATCTCCCTGTCAATCCATGACGCGGCCCTACTCCCCTTCTCCACAACCTAGCTCCTCATCCTAACCAGCTCCACCAGCACTTGGCTCATGGTGGGGCGAGATGCCGTGCCGTGGGCATGGCAGTGCGGGAGAGGGGGTATAGGAGAGAGCAAGACGAGCCATGCGCAGCATCAGACCATGTCAGTGGATGGACCACTCTGGCTACCAACAAGCTCCAAACGAGCCATCTGGGCATCAAAATCAGCCTCAGCAGAGCTGTCAATCTCCCTGTCAATGCGCGACGCAGCCCTGCTCCCCTTCTCCTCTACAACCTCACTCCTCATCTTTACAAGTTCCACCAGCACTTGGCTCATGGTGGGGCGAGATGCCGTGGGCATGGCGGTGCAGGAGAGGGCGAGCCGAGCCATGCGCAGTATGAGATCGTCGGGTGCAGTTAGATACGGATCCTTGAAGGCCATCACGTTGCTTGATGCCACCAGGGGAGCCACCTGCATTGTTCATGCAATGAGAAGCATTGGGTCGGCAAGGTGGTGCAGGGGAGAACAAGGCGAGCCATGCACAGAATCAAGTCATCGGGTGCGGTTAGATACGGATCCTTGAAGGCCATCGCGTTGCTTGATGCCACTAGGGGAGCCACCTGCATTGTTCATGCAATGAGAAACATTGGGTTGGCATGGCAGTACAGGGGAGAACAAGGCGAGCCATGGGCAGAAAGAGATAATCTGGCGCGGATACGGTCCTTGAAGGCCATCACGTTGCTTGATGCCACCAGGGGAGCCACCTGCATTGTTCAGGCAATGTGCAAAACGGGGTACCAGTTGCTTATCTGGCTGAAAGTAATCATGAGGGGTGCATAAGAGGGGGAATGGAAGTACTATGTAGGGTACAAGGAACGGATAGATGGCGACAACTGCAGTGTGTAAGGAAAGACATGGCTGTTCTACCCGTTACATGCCAGGAGCAGCCTTGTACCATACCTCACCCTTTGCGCATGCCTCAACCATCACTCGTGCCCCGCCCATCACTCCTGTCTCACTTATTGCTTGAGGTTGAAGAGCGTGTCCTCTGTCACGTGAACTGCCTTGCGGGCCGTGATCACCCCTCCCAATGCACATGCCTCACCCATCAGTACCCATCAGGCCCACACACGATTTTTATACCCATGATTCATGCCTCACCCATTGCTTGAGGTTGAAGAGCGTGTCCTCTGTCACATGCACTGCCTTGCGAGCCGTGACCACCACAAGCATCACCACTCCAAAGCTGCCAGCACCAAACACTCACAAGAACACGGCACAGCACAAAACGCGAGAAAACAGTGGTGCATGTGGCCTTTGTACGTGGGCCTTTGTTTCGCTTGGGCTATAATAAATCGCTCTTTCCACACTGTCATGATTGGTACAAACATGTACGGTAATTTCTTTGTGGCTGATATTGGACAAGTCTACGCACTAACCTGGTCCATTCGCCCATTCGCCCTCTCACCCGTGAACATCCGCCGATAGAGTAGCTTTGTGACACTTGCCGTATGCAGGGTCCACATAGCCCAGGGATCCTATCTCTACCGTACTTACTTACCCAATACCAGCTGGCACCACTCTGTACCTGTGCACATCTGCTGTTGGCGTGGCTTTGTGTGACTTGTAATACGCAGGGTCCACATAGCCGGGTGTTCCCATCACTCTCGTAGCAGCCACGGATGTTCCCATGGTCGTGCCCCCACTTAGCTTCACAAGGCCGAAATCTGCAATCTTGGCCTGCTCACAATCACAATGTTGCAAGAGGGAGCAGGATAAGAGGGTGGGTAAGCAATAGCGACAAAGGCAATGGTGTGAGGATAAGCAAAACAAAACAAGAACTCACACACACAAGAGACTTACCTCCATTTTCGTGCCAAGGAGAATGTTGGCAGGCTTGATGTCACGATGAACAATCCCAAAGTCATGCAGATACTGCAACCCTTTCGCGACCCCTATCAGAATGTCCAACCGTTGGGGAAGCGATAGCGGGATGGATGCGCCCGGTCCGATCCAGCTCTCAAGGTCGTGGTTTGGCATGAACTCGTAGATGAGGATTTGCTCCATATGCCTTGTGGATGGGTTGAAGTCGATGCAGTAACCCAAGAGACGCACGAGATGGGGATGATGCTTGCTGGCCATTTCTTTCACCTGCAAGGGGCACAAACAGCAGCATGTGGAAGGATGTGCACGATCAGAGTTTGCTCCATGTGATGTGTGGCTGGGTTGACTATTGAGGCACCTCAAAAGTCGGTCCGATCCAGCTCTCAAGGTCGCGGTTTTGCATGAACTCGTAGATGAGGATTTGCTCCATGTGCCGTGTGGTGGGGTTGAAGTCAATGCAGTAGCCTAAGAGCCGCACGAGGTGGGGATGTTGCTTGCTGGCCATCTCCTTCACCTGTAGGATGTGAAAGGATGTGAAAGATCAAGGGGTGACTCACATTCATGGTGTGATGAAAGTGCAATAACAGGTGGCAAGTGTGGAATAAGAAGTAGCATGATTTCCCAACGACAAAGTGCAAGAAGTGAAGAAGCAGAATGATCTACCAACGACAAGTGCCATTTGATACCTCGGTCTGAAAGTCGTTGGTGAGAATGCGAGCCCGTTTGACAGCCCATATCTGGTCGCAGCTATGAGGAGACACTCCCTTGAACACATCCCCGAAGCTGCCACTGCCGAGCCTGTTCCCCTCAGCCCAGTTCGCTGTTGCTGCTGTCACCTCTGCTAGGGAGTACTCTTTGCATACTTGAAACCGCGCTGCTTGCATGTCTGCTATAAACTCATCATCCTGCCGCTCCCCAGCTGCTGCTGCTGCTGCTACCGCCGCCGCCAACGCCGCCGCCGCTGCTGCGACTGCTGCTGCTTTTGCTTCTTCTTGTTCTCCTTTTGCGTTAGTGTTTATCTCCACTGCAAAGGCATCATTGTCCCTCCTTACAGCTGCTGGTGCCAAAGCTGTTGCATCTGATGCTGCTTCTTTGGATTCTGGGTCGTCATCCTCTTTGCCTGCAGGTTGAGTGCGGTGGGTGGTGGTCAGAGAAAGGTTTGGTTGAGATTAGGGACGGTTGTATAAACATACTGGAAGCAAAGAATCAGGAACCCCACATGACGCACAAATAAAGAGAACTGAAGGAAGAAAACAGGAAATACAAAGAGAAAGAGAAATTGTAAAAGTTGCACCATTCCAATGCGTTCAACTACAGTCCTTGGACTTTCTGGGACGGAAAGGTGTGGGAAAGAAAGGCTTGCCTTGAGAAGTCACTTCTGGAGGAGCGTCGCTCTCTGGCGCATCCTTGGCAGCTCTTTTTGCAGCCCTTGCTTTGTACCAACGCCAGGCGAATAGCGCAATGAACAATAACGCCCCAACCACAATAAGTACTAAAGGAAGTACCACGTTCACCAGTACTCCCCCCCCACCACCACTTGTTGTAGGTGCTGCAGATGTCAAGAAAGGGGAAAAGATGGAAGCATCACACTGTATGAAATAAATTTTAAAAAACAATGGACACGAAGATTGCCAGTAATTCAAAATAATGCACATTAGATGCAAGTAGTTGAAGATACCACATCAAGCAGTTTTCCCAAATGGAATGGTTACTCATGCATCTAATCTGGTGGTTAGCCTGGTTAGTTGTTTGTTTTGCATTCCCTATCTTTGACTTACCGCAAGTGTTGCAGAAGGAAGAGCACAGCTGGCAGAATGCATTTGATTTGATGATCTGTGTGGATCCGCAGTCACTGTAGTCAGCTGGGCATGTTAAACCAGTCCGTGATACGTTCCTGCATATGCAAATGATGTTTGCACAACACAGTTGAAAACTTCCCTGCATGCAATACTTTTCACAAATTC